ACTATAGCGTTGAAAATAAAAACCATCCTATACGTGAGATGTCAATTTTTGATTTTCTAAAAAGAAACAACTATCTTGTACAATTTTTAAAATTTAGGTAAAAAAGAAAGAATAAATGTTTAATTTAGTCAATAAAAAATTAATGTATCACAACATTAATTATTTAATTTGAAGATTTTTTTAAATTGTATTAGTTCTTTAAAGTCGGTAAATCATCACATTAATTCTTGGAAAATTTTGTCAGTGAATCAACTCTCAATCTTACAAAACAATTACTGAATTCATTTTTTTTTTTTTGGAAATTTAATGAATATAAAAACAAAAAACAAAGAAAAGTCTAACTAGAAATCATTCTTGGAGTAGCCACTCCTATACGATCTTCCAGAACAGGTTTATGCAACCATCAGGAGGGTGATCAAATTCCTGCACCTCAAAGTTGTGAGCCTGGGAAGCTAATCAATCTGCAACTCGATTTCCCTTCCTATAAGTGTGTGTTATCTCCACCTTCCAAGCTCTTTGCACGAGGGTCTGAATGTGCTGAATCATATTAAACAGCGGGTGGGTGAATTCAATATTGCATTATCATCATTTTAGTAAGTATTTTATATGATCACTTTAGTCTTATATAAAGATAAATATAGGGTTGAGTTTGAATTACTCTCCTTAGTCACTGTAACAATAAAATACAAAAGAAAAGAAAAGAAAAGAAAAACAATTTTTAAAATTTAAAAATCAAATAATTAACATAACTGAAAAAGGCTCAAATCCAACTATATATATCTTGGAAAAGAATCATCACACGTTATTTAACATGGTCCTTTTATACGAGAGAATCATAAACATACAAAGATAAATTAATAATAATTAAAGAAGAGAAAAAGAAATAGAATGAATTGTTACAAAATCATCACCGCCAATTCATCATTGTATGGTTAGAATTATCTTATATGACATCATCATATTAAATAATATGTGAGAAAATCCATTCATATATATATATCTCATTACTACAAGAAATTTTTTTAAAAATAAATTAAAAGCTCAACTTTATGTTTGTTTGTAAAATGTAACATTCGGTAAACTTCAAAATCATAGCCATGTCCATGATCGATCTCCCTCTCTCTCACTTTTCAAAAGAAAAATAATTTTTGTTTTTGGAAAACCAAAAGAAAAATAATTTAAATATTACAAGAAATATATGATTTTTTTAAGCTATATATTACTATATTGTACAATAAGTTAGCAGTCAAGTTACTAGAATTTGACTAATCGCCAGTAAATAATTTATACAAAAATATTAGTTCAATATTCATTGTCACTTTGCATTAAAAATAAGGCAAGCTTTATTAATAATATTGTACTTCAATAAATAAGTACTAAAATAAAAATGTTCAAGAAGATTGACTATTGTGCAATGCTTACTTCATTCTTTTTAATTCCAAAAAAGTCTGCAGACCTTTATTATAGTAAGATGAAGAAGAGCAAGGATAAATACGTAGGAGTAATATTTGAGTACAGTTGGAAAAGTATACGCACCTTAACATGAAACTGATCATTTTGTGACCTGAAAATATTTTCTACGAGTCAAGATATAGAAGGAGTTCATTCTGCATTGTATTTGGCTATCAAGAAATCATATTACATAGTATGGCGAGATAAGATTTTTTAAAGTGATATATTTTTTTAAAATAAACATATATTTATTATTAATTTAAATTAAATTTCATCATATTTTTGTTGGGTCTTACGCCTTGTCTAGTTTTGATGATAACAAACAAGTGGAGCCAAATTATTTAATAGTTTGTTTAGTTTTTGAAAAGTTGTTGCAAGACTGAACTTGTGATCAAGGTTGTTAAAATCGCGTGGAATATTGTAGGATCGTTCGATCCTACGATTTTTTCCCTTCCAACGAGCTGAATCGCGCATAGGATCGTTTTCTTCTCAGATTGATTGAGATCGATGGGTAAACACGTAGAATCAGTGAGCTCGGACGATCCCACAAATTCAGCGATTCAAGAGAAAAAAACCACAGAAAAAAGAGTGGGAGAGAGGAAGGAGTTGGCTGTTGCTGTTGTCATCGGCGACCATCACTGAAAGAGAGAGACAAAGAAATCAACCCTATCGCTTGAAGTAAGAAGAGGACTGTTCTTTTTTAAGAGAGAAGAAGACTATTTTATTTCTTCTTCTTCTTTTGAAATCGGAGGAAATAAAGAGAATAATTGAAAGCAAAAACACAGAAGCTTCATCCTAGTTTCAGCTAATACATCCTTCAAGAGCAGGTCGCAGGTCGAAGCAAGCCAACAGTGGAGATTGAAGATTGGGTTTTTAGAATTAACGTGTCGGCGTGTCGTGTCCCGTGTCAGTGTCGGTGTATCATAGGGAACCAATGAGGTAAATTAATCTAAAATTGATCTCTTAATGCATCAATATGAATTATTTACCATGAAACCAAAAGAGTCAATTAGAGATATAATTACATGTTTTACTAATATTATAAATGAGTTAAGTGCTTTAGGCAGGAAAATCATAGTTGAAGAACTGATAATTCATATTTATTACACTTATTTGTTACTCTTGATTAGTGATTTTTGGATTGTTTAGTGTGTAAATAATGGTTTTTGGGTTAAACTAGATGTTGGGTTTTTAATTGGGTTTATTTTGAATTTCGTAATAAAAATCCAGATTTACGTTACTGCAGTATTTTGACCGTAACTCATTCCAAATTTTTCCGATTGACCCCATTCTTATTGCGTTTTGCAGCTAACTCAAAGGGATACAAATGTTATGAAGACATGAAAGCCCAGTTCGGACAATAGGATGGTCAAAAATCAATCCCAAGTTGGTCACGAGTTGCTACAGTTTTAATTAGTTAATTGGATTTAAGTTTGTAATTGGGAACCCAATCTTTATGTGGCCCAAATCTATTATTTATCTTTTATTTCCTTTTATAATAGGTCAGACTTGTAGAGCCTATATAAAGGCATGATTAGGAGACCTTGTGATTCAGTTTTAGTTTTTGTTTTCAGAGTTTATGTTTTTACAGTTTCAAGATTCAATTGCAATTTACGTTTTCTCTCTTCTACTCTTTTGTTTTTCTTTATTTTCTTAATTTCAATTATGGTTTTCTACTTAGCCATGCTAGGCTAAGCGTTCTTTAATCAATCCAAGAATTAAGGATTCCGCGGTTGAATTCGGACGACCTGCGCTTCATCTTGATCCAAATTGTTTCTCTTCCTTCAACTCAGATTCTAGTTCTGCGATTGCAGCTAAGGAAAGTGATTGAATGTTAGATTTAATGTTTAGGTTGATTAACCCAATGATCTTAAGTCAAACGGGCTGATACTCCGCGATTGCGCGAGTAGATTTGTCGTATTGATCAAACGTTAGGCGATCGTCTAGAGAGGGGTTCCTAAGCAATTGCAGGGATTCTGAATTTCTTAGGGTCAACCACGATTTGGAAATCCTTTGTCCAATGATGGATATCTTGGAATCCTAATTCTTGGGTTGATTGCTTTTAATTGATAATTTCAGTTTTTAAATCCTTGTTTTTACTTTCTATTTTTAATCACACAAAACCCCTTTTTTTTACTTCTTGTTTTTAATTGATCGTTTAAGATCCTTGCAAATTCCTTGAGAGACGATTCAAGTTGCCCACTTTATTACAAATCTTTATTTTTACAAACCTAATTCATTTGAGTGACTTCGACAGCTCACATCAAATTTGGCGCCATTGCCGGGGAATTTGCATCGTTCTTTATCGTTCTTGAATCTTTCTTGAATCTTTCTTCTTCGTTCTTGAATCTTTCTTCTTCTTTCTTAAATCTTTCTTCTTCTTTCTTTATTCTTTTTTGAATCTTTCTTTAATCTTTCTTCTTGGTTCTTTTCTGTTTTACTTCTTTGTTTCTTTGCGATTTTGGGTGTTTTTGTGATTGGGAAGACAACTGTCTTACCCAATCCGATCTCAGAAGTTCAATTCCCAAAGAAATTTGACCTTTTGAGCAAAAGTCACTCCCTAAAAGGGAATGAGGGCGCCCTTAATTTCGCGAAATTCTGTTATTTACTAACCCTTTTTACTATTTCTTAGTCATTTTAGGACGAATCAGGTATTTCGACAGTTGTTCGACTCGCTCTTATTGCTCTGGGAATTGGTGAGCTGAAGGAGACGATCATCCCTATCAAAAGTCGTGAGGCATAGTCTCACGATTCAGGCCCTGGTTTAGCCAAATTTCTTCGTTTACTATTTTATTTTATTTTTTGAAAAAAATTTATTTGAATTTTGAGTTCCTAGATAGGATTAGAAATTTTGTGTGGTGGTCCCATAATTTTTAAAAATCGTTTGATATTTTTTCTGTATTTTTTAGGTCAATTTTCAGTGTTTGCCATGATTTTCGTATGTTTCATATGCTTATAGCGATTTTACCTGTTGTAGCACCTTATGATGCATGACTAGGAGTAGTGGTAGTCCTCTATTTGAACTTTACCCTGAGATAGAGAGACAATTGCATGCTGCTAGGAGAGCTCGTAGGTTAAGTTATAGTAGCGCTATTGAACTTGGCTCTGTTTCTGAGCATTCTGAACATACTGAACATTCTGAGTTTATTTCTTCTTCTAATTTTCCTAGTTCTTCTAGTAGAGTAAATTTTATTTTTCCTAACTGTAATGTCATTAATTCAAAAAATAAAAAAATGGACAATAGAAGTTTAAAGCAGTTAGCTGCACCTGAGGTTGACTACCAACCTTCATGCATTCGTTATCCTGAACTTAATACTGCTTTTGAACTTAATTCTGGTCTAATACATTTGCTTCCCAAGTTTCATGGCCTTGCAGGTGAGGACCCTCATAAGCACTTAAAGGAGTTTCATGTGGTCTGTAGCACTATGAAGCCGCAAGGAGTTGATGAAGAGCAGGTCAAACTGAGAGCCTTTCCTTTCCCCCTGGATGGAGGAGCTAAGGATTGGTTGTACTGCCTTCAACCTTCATCTATCGAGACTTAGAATGACATGGCCAGATTGTTTTTTGAGAAGTTTTTCCCTTCCTCAAGAACAACTTCAATCAGAAAGGAGATAAGTGGCATAAAACAAGCAAATGGGGAGAACTTGCATGAGTACTGGGAGCGGTTTAAAAGACTTTATGCAAGTTTTCCACATCACCAGATTTCGGAGCAATTGCTAATTGTCTACTTCTATGAAGGCTTGCTGCCTATGGAGTTGATTGCAAAGATGGCAGCCAATGCTCAACAATTTGACACTAGAGCGAATAGCAGTGCAGTGTTCCAAGTGCAAGCATCTTCTATCCAGAATTCAGTAGTAGCAGCAGCAGTGGCGTCGAGCACAGATAATCAGAGAATAGAGAATAGGTTTGACGAGCTGACTTCACTGGTGAGACAGTTGGCTGTGACGCAAATAGTCCAACCTCCTACTCCCACTCCACAAGTGAGCAACTCATGCGGTATTTGCTGCAACCGGCCGCACCCCACTGATGCTTGCCCCAGTATACAAGAAGGTGCCCCTCTAGTAGACCAGACAGTTGCTGCAGTAGGAGTCTTCCCTGGTAAATCACAGTACCAGCAGCAACAACAGTACAACCTATTCTCTAACACCTATAACCCTAGCTGGAAGGACCATCCCAACTTGAAGTGGAACCAAAACCAGAATCAGAACCAGTACCAACAGAGGCAGCAGTTCGTACCTCAGCAGCAGAGGCAAAATTTCCAACCTGCTGCACCTCCACAACAGCCACATGTACCGCAACATCCAGGAAGTGGTGCTTCTCTAGAATATTTGGTTAAACAGCTTGCCACTAGTAATCTGCAATTCTAGCAGCGAACTGAATCATCAATTCAGAACTTACAGACTCAGATCGGGCAATTGGCTTCTTCTTTGAGACAGACCCAACCTCAAGAGCCTGGTTCCCTTCCTTCCCAGATAGTTCCAAATCCGAAGGGAAATCTGAATGTTAGTGCTATATCCCTAAGGTCTGACAAGCAACTAGAAGAGCCCAAGCAAGCTGTATTTGACCAGCAACTAGAAGAACCCAAGCAAGCTGCATCTGAGACTGAACCAGCATTAGAAAAAGAGGAGACAGTGCAAGATAAGCAAGGTCATGATGAGCCTGAGTTTTCCATTCCTCTTCCTTTCCCTCAAAGAGCCATCAAATCTAAGAAGCTGGCAGAGACAACACAAGAGAAGGGAATCCTAGAGACGTTCAAAAAAGTTGCAATTAATATTCCTCTCTTAGAAGCAATCAAGAAGTTTCCTAAATATGCCAAGTTCCTGAAGGAGTTATGTACCAACAAGAGGCGGCTGAAGGGGGACGAATTAGTAAGCATGAGCTGAAACATATCCAGCCCATGCTTGAGAAGTGCAATGATCCAGGAACGTTTACTATTCCTTGCCTTATTGGAAATTATAAATTTGATGATTGCATGCTAGATATAGGTGCTGCCATAAATGTTATGTCTAAATCTGTTTATGATTCTCTTGGTCTTGGTCCTTTACATGCCACTAGTGTTGTTATCCAGTTAGCTAATAGGAATAGTGCTCACCCTACTGGTTTGATAGAAGATTTTTTAGTTAGGTGCATGAATTGATTTTCCCTGTTGATTTTTATATTTTAGACATGGAAGGTGAATCTCCTAACAGTAGGCCCCCAATCATTCTAGGAATGTCTTTCATGAAAACAGTTAGGACTAAGATAGATGTACATACTTGTGCTCTTTCCTTAGAATTTGGTGATAGTATTGTGCATTTTAGTATCCTTAATGCCATGAAGCATTCTAGGGTCAAGGTTGAGCATTCAGCTTCGTGCAATAATGTGATTCATGATGTGAATAATAATGTTGATACTGATTTGATTGTGGATTCTGCATTACTTGTGGATTCTGACTTGCCTACTGATAATAATTCGGATCATATGTCTAATTTGATTCTGTCTGCACTTAGTCCTAAAAAGGAAATTGATTATATTAGGAAGAACAAGACATCTTGCACACACATTGTATGCAATAACTATGGTAAGATAAGACACATTTCTTATTTGTGCTATCATAGAAAGAACTTTATTATGAGAAAATTTTCTACCAACTTTGATCCTAACTCTCATGGACCCAAGATGAAATGGGTATCAAAAAGTCCTCCTTTTGTCTTCAATATGCAGAATACTATTCATAAGGTTGGACGAAATGATCAAAAGAAGAAAAATTTACGTGATAAAAAGACTGGGCAGACCTTAACTGTGAATGGACACCCCCTCAAGCTTTTTCATGAGGGACCCCAGCAGCAGCCTGTGGAGGCAGAGCTCAGGCTCACTAACGCCACTTAACCTCCCTAAAGAGGACATAGAGTTTTCCTTGTCCTTTTCCTTTTCTTTATTTTAGTTTATTTTGTTGTATCTGCAATTTTAATTTTAGTTTTAATTTTCAATAAGTAGATTTTCCTTTTTTTTCCTTATAATTGTTGAGTTATACATAGTGTGAACTTGGATATGTTGTTCTTGATGGATCATTCTAATTGGGCAGAGTTCTTGATTGTCAGATTACTTGGCTTGGTAGTTGAATTCATGATGCTAATTGCATGAGTTGGTATTAACCTTGTGAGAGTTTGAGCCTTTATGAATGAAATTTATCTTTTTGTCATTCTTTCTTTGCTGTGTGTTTTTCCTCATGATTTTTGTTCTCTAGAGCTTGTTCCTTTTCTTTTTAAAACTACATTTTTCACTTGCATGCATAAACATGATAGATGCCTTCTTTCTTTTATTTCTCTACTTTGGCCAAATAGCCATCCCTTACATTACATTTCCTTTGGTTAGCCCCTTTGTGCCTTTTTATCTCATTCTTTTCTTAGCCACATTACAAGCCTAAGTGTAAAATCATGTAATCCTACACCTTGGAAATTTATTGAGTATTGGTTTCATCTTAGTTTGGTGTTTAAGTGTGGGGGTTGCCCAAGGCGTTCAACATCTTAAGTGTGGGGGAGGTATTTTATGCCATTCATCACTTGGCATTGCATTTGTTGGTCATTGGATTATGAAAAAGAGAAATAAAAAGAAAAAGAGTTCTGAAAAAAATGATAGAAAAGTAGCGTTGAAAAAAGAAAAGAAAAGAAAAGAAAAGCAATAGAAAAATAGAAAGGAAAGAGAAAAACAAAAAGAGAAATGACCGCTTAGTCTTAATCTTTGTCTCATTTTTTTATTTTATTTCTTGTTTTGTTTTTTAGTTTGATTTTAACTAGTGCTCTTTAAATTTTCTTGGGTGCTTAGCCTCTTTTTTTCATATTTTTCCATACCTTCACTCTAGCCTCAATACAACCTTGTAAAAAGTGATCTTGATTTTTGCATGCATGTGTTTTGAGTAGTGGAGAAGTAGAAATTGAGCAAGCCTATGGTAGGGCAATTTTCTTGAGTTGAACTTGAGTGATACACTGATTTACCCTATACACTTGAGAGATTAATTGAGAGCATTCCATGAGAAACCATCTTGTGTGATTAGCATTAATAAATGAGATTACTATGTTTTTGTAATTTAAGATAAAGGAATGTCTATCTCAATTGGTTGATCTTTTGAAGCTTTATTATCCTTGTTTAGATTATTGTATTCTTAGCAATTGTTTGAAAGCATTGGTTATCTTTAAGTCTTTTTCTTTGTTGTGTCATTTCTTTTAGTTTTTGTTTCAAGTTTTAACTATGCTCAGGAGTGCAAAAGGATAAGTGTGGGGAAATTTGATAATTCATATTTATTACACTTATTTGTTACTCTTGATTAGTGATTTTTGGATTGTTTAGTGTGTAAATAATGGTTTTTGGGTTAAATTATATGTTGGGTTTTTAATTGGATTTATTTTGAATTACATAATAAAAATCCATATTTACGTTACTGCAGTATTTTGACCATAACTCATTCCAAAGAATTGAAGAAAATAATCAATAGTCTTAGAGAGGAGATCATTAGGCTTATGAACAATACTTTTAAATTAGAAAGCAAGAATGCATCTTGGATACAGAAATTGCAAGAAACCAAGAAAGAGGAATGTGTCGTGATAAGCGATGCACAGTTGGATGAAGAGATTGATCGATTTGAGGGCAAGGTAAAAGAATTGACTAAAGAGAAATAAGACTTCCAAAATAAGCTAGAAACTACCCTTAGGACCCCATGGTAGATAGACCAAAAGTTGTCAAGTGGTTGAATAAGAATTGCAACAAATCTAGGCATGGGTTAGGATTTGAAGGAAATAAGAAATCTGCTTAAAAAACCAAAAGTAAGCATGTGAACTTGTATGAGAATAGGGTGTGCTATCATTGTGGTAATTTAGGACATCTAAAATTTGAGTACAAGGCTAGGATAAAAAGCAATTGAAAAGAATGTATAATATATTAAAAATAGCTCTATGTATATATGCAAAGTAAAAAATATGGATTATAAAAGATGTGTTTTCTATTTTTGTTGAAAAGAGGAAGGGACCTAAGCTAGTCTGAGTTCCCAAACCTAACAAGTGATTTAAGAATGCAAGTTAGATTGATGGGAAGCAATATAAGTATCTTGACAACGATTGTTCTAAGAATATTACAAGAGATATTTTCATATTTCTCTCACTCAAACCATTCCAATATGAATGTGTGACTTTTGGTGACAACCACAAAGGTTAAATTATAGGCAAAGTAAAGTTTGTAAATAACCTCATACTCCATTGATAATTTTTATTATGTTAAGGGATTAAGGCATAATTTTTTGAGTATTTGCTAATTTTGTGAAAAAAGAAATAAGATCTTGTGTGCATAATGTATAGTTAAAATTAATTGCTCATGATGTTAGTAGTATATCAACTTAATCATGTGGGTCTGCTGATGTGCTAAATTTTGACATTGCTAAACTATTTTCTTTATAACTTGAGCTAGAAAAATCATTTTTTGATTAAACCAATTGCTATTGAAATCTAAGATGATGAAGTTTGACTCTAGAAATTTTCATAATTTTTTTCTTAACCCAACTATTCCCATAAATTTTGTGAAAGTGGTGTTCAGTTCTAAATTCTATTTTGAGCTAAGTTAACTTTAAACAGTCACAACTTGAGTTATACAAATCTTTTTTGGATAAAATCAATGGCATTGGAAAGCTAACTTCATAAACTTCAAGAATTTCAGAATTTTTTGATGTGTATACTACTACTCTTAGTTGATATGTCAATGTGATAGAATTGCTGATTATTTTATTTTTTTAGATAATGTACTTTAACTGGTTATATCTTGACTTGTAGGACTCCAATTTTAGTGATCTATACCGCCTTAAAAAGCTTGAGATGTGTAATATAATATATACAACATTTATAATTTTTTTCAAAAAAGAAAAGGGAGTTGAGGTTGGAATTAGGATTGATAAATCTAAACTAGGTATCAAAACTTTATTCCTTCCAATGATTGGCTAGTTAAGACAACTTCATCATTCATGATAGAGATTCTTGTGCATAAATAACTTTGAGTTATCACAATCAATTGTGTTTGCTATTTAAGCATAATCATCAAGTTTCATCTTATCATCTTAATCATGACTTTTTCTAACAACAAATATTCATTTAGCTAGAACAACTTGTTAAACCCAATATTTTGTTGGTTGAATAATATTTCTTGTGTGCATGACTTGATTTTGTTGTAAATTGAGTGTTGAAGTGCAGATACAACATTTGTGTGAGATAGGTGAGGAAAGGCTATCTAGAACTTGTACAATTAAGGCTGAAGACTCATTATTGAAGTACTCTACAGGATAACCAAAAAGGAAATATGCCATCTTTGAACGTTTTAGCCTTTCAAGCCAACCCGTATATTAAATATCACTAGTCACATATTTTGCTCCTTAAGCCATTTTATTTCTTTTGTAAAAATAAACATATATATCTTTTTTTTCAATATTTTCTAAAGGTGCAGGTATGCATAGTCTATAAAACCATATCACAAAATTACACCACAAGGGCTAACAAGAAAGAATCAGAAGAGCATGTATACAACAAAAAAAGGTTGAAGAAAAAGAAGAATAAAAATAAATAAATAAAAATGGGCTAGCAGCATGTACTTTGAAGAACATCAATATTGAAGTCAGGGGAACTTGTATCAAAAGTAAAAAGATAAATATTAGCATACCCTTTGACACTTGCTGCAAATTTTAGCTATGTTACAAAATATGCCATGTGAAAAAGTTAAGTTAATGAGGGAAAACTGCAATATATTTGGTTATCTAAGATGCATATTCGCGCTTGACCACCAATACTTTAAGTCTCACACCTTGTTATTATTTTCTCCTTACCCTTTTGCAATACAATTCATCAAAGTCATATGAATTTAATGTCTCATGGAGGAACTTCATCACCACAACTGGTGGACCCTCATGACGTACGAGCTTATGTAACTCCTTAAGTGCAAACACTTAAGTGATTCCTAAATTTATGAGAGTGAGAATTTACTATAATTTTAAGTGTGGGTGAACATTCAAGAGAAAGAGCGCATTGAATATATAGTAAGTATTTCTTCTTAAGGTGCATTTAAAATTATTCGGCAACCAAGGTATGAGCAAATTTGTTGAGTCCACCATTTAAATTTTATTTTAACTTATTTGCTTATTGATTAGAAGTGTCCAGGTAACCAATTTGTAATGTGTTTTTATTACCTTAGAAAATGCCGTGGCTTAGAAATAAGTTGATTTTTATTCATTGTAAATAAAGACGAGGGCCTTTTAGCTTCGGCAAGTCTTTGATTAGACTTCGTGAAAATCCTAGGGTTAGGGTTCCAGAAACCCAGGGTTATGTTTCAGGTTAATTCTTGTATAAGGATAGAATATATTCTATTTTGTACTTTGAATTATGAGTGTGACTCACAATAATGGATTTATCTCCAAATTCAATAGAGGTATCCTGATTTGGGTCGTGAGTTTTCTTCCTCCAGTTGGAGTTTTTCTCACATTAAAATAACTGTCACTTTTTCATTTTACTCTCTCTCTTTTTTCTGTAAACTTTTATTTTACTCTTTATTTTATCGCAGTTGTGTGTATTTTTAAATTATAAATTTTCAATAAATTTAATTTAATATCCCACTTGAGTTTATCTGAGACCAATAATTTTTAGTATGTTAAAATTTATAAGTGAACACACACACATATATATATAAATAGGATCCTTTGACACTAGTGTCAAATTTAAAGTTTGACACCTTATCTGAGATCCATTAGATCAAAAAAGATGAACAACTCTGATTTGTAAGCATGTGACACCATTGATCTTTTTTGATCTAATGACTCTCAGATGAGGTGTCAAAGGATCCTACTTATATATATATATATATAT